CGCCCCACCCCTTGTTGATCTTTACACAATGGACGATTGACCCTAGGATGGCTTCTCGAATCGGTGCGCTTCGCTACCCTTATGCGGAATTGCCTTGGAGTTCGCTGTCGGATCTGTGTGTTTTTATCGGCATCTTTGTAAACAAGCGCCGTGTTTTCGAATATTTGATGCCTTTTCCTCTTCACAATTACCATATTTTTGAAATCGATAGCAACAATCCTTTTTTTATAGATGAACGACTCGCAACCTTCTGCCTTGATGGAAAATGGGGCCGATACGTTTCCTACAACGTCAGTCGTTCCTATCCTGAAAGACCATCTTGAAGTTGAAGCTGCTGCACGAACTGAGCCACAATCCATGGAAGTTTCCTTATTTGGAGCAGACAATGGCGAACCTGAGTCAACTGATTTCCATAAAATGGTCTTACTCAACTACGGGAGTGTAGACGGCCGTCTCGAAGACGACGAAGATGATGAAGAAGAAGAGGAAGAGAAGGGTCACAATTCCGGCATGCAGTGGAGTAGCTCCAAAGAGTCGGCACCGCCTTTGAAAGAATCTTCACCTAAGAAGGAATCTCCAGAAAGCGAAGAAAATGTCCCCGAAGTGTCTGATCATAACGAGACTGCAGCTTCCGTTTCTATTCGTAGGCAATTATCACCTTCAAATGGCGGCTGCTCTACTGCCAAGGACGAGAAGCCTGAACCAACTAGTATGGAAACAGATGAAATAAATTGAGCCTGCTGTTCCTTCCAAATCCACCAAGCGTGGCACATACGAGAAGTTAGTTTGATATTATACGACTGCAGGGTAGTGTTTATTCGCAATTTTTAGAAAAGCTAGAGGAAGGCCAAGAAAAAGCAGAGACATCTCATCTCCTCCGAAGACGCGGTTAGTTCAGTTTCTCAAATTTCCCACGGTATTCAGCAGAATTACAGTTTCTTAAGCAGACCGCGCGGACGTCCACGAAAGGATGGAGGTGAATCAAGAAAGAAGGGTGAACGTAAATCTACAGAAAGGTAGTGTTACTATAATATGCTTTGAAATGCTTTTTGTTCGGGGCATTAGTCATCGTTACTTTTGGTTCCGAGACTTCACACAAGGATGTAGAGTTGTGATGAAATATGGGCGTTCGGCCGCTGTAGATCCTGCTTGTCTTTTCTGGGCGGGTTTTACTTACAGGAAAAAAGCTCTGTTCTTGTACAAAAGGTAGCCACTAGGTTCATTACGATCATCTAAGGTTATTGAGTAGGCTATTGACAGGTGCGAGGCTTGTGTCAGAGTCCGAGATCCGTCGCAGGTTTCGCGCGATTCACAAGATTCGATGACTGTAGTAATTTGCATTTGATTATATCACGGTTTAAGCAGTTGTTAGACTTTGCGATACTCGTTTGATTCGTGGGAATCGCGCGATGGGCACAAGAAACATGGGCCTAAGCCTGTGCAAGAGACTATTTATGTTAGTTATACAAATACGTTAGCTAAATTAGGGTAAGCGAAACCACTGAAGCTAAAGGAAGGCATCGCGAGATTATTACTGGCGTGGACATCGGAGGAGAGTATAGGGGGGGGGTTGGGGTGGGTTTCGCGAGGGTGGACCTTAAGAGGTAACCAAGCATCGTTGTTACAGTTGGAAAAAGTTTCATTTTGCTCGGACTAAAACATCATTCTTCAGAAAGCTACATGAACGTCTGCAAAAACGACGACCGCGTCGAGCTGCGGCTATGATACAAGATTTCCTTGAGCTATACGCCAAAGTGGATTTGGCCGATCTTGAAATAATCCATGCCAGGGTTCGTTATAGTGCCATACAACCGTTGATTACGTATCTATTTTGAAAAATCGATTGATGCGACGATGTCACATCATAGCAATTGAATGTATGAATAAGTAGAATTAAATCAGGTAATTTTAGGCCACGACATTTGTGAGAATGCTAGTTGATGAGTACATCGAAGAGTCAAAAGCGAGCACGGCTAAGTCATCTTCCCGTAGCAATTCTCAAAGTTCGCGTGATCTAAAAGGTCTGTTACGTCTTATCTTATTCGGAGTTATTTAATTCCTTCACACTATCGCGATACCTGCATTACTACCAATGTGAATATTTACTGATCGCACACTTTTGTTCATCATAATGACCCGTGTTTTTTTTTTCACGGTTTGCTTGTTTTTATCGCTTGATCCCACTTTAGGGCCACGGTCGTACTTTGCGATTAATTTGCCCTCTGTTTGGTTTGGACGTTGAAAAGATACGTATCGATCGTGCGGTCGCACGACCGATATCACCTACTTCACAGTCGATCTGCTAGAGGGTCGCAATGTGTGACCGCGGCCTCAAATAGACCTTCCGTTTCGGTATAAATCTAGAACGGAGTGCACACGCTAGATTTCGAAGCGCGCTGTGTTTGGATGGTCTCAGGCTAGGTGCTGTGTATTTTTCAGTGTGAAAGATACTGAGTTTTCAAGCTTGAAATATACGTTACCCAAAGCGTTGCGGTAATTATTTTTTGGTTCCTGAGATTGCTGGAAAATTGTCAAGAAACTCAACTTTCTTTAGGTACGGGGTCGGATGCGATGGAAAGGAAAAGCGAGAAGAAAACAAGTTCTGGTAACAGGGATAACTCACACTACTCTTCCAGACGTGTATCACACGGTGAGTTTTCCCTTAATTCATTTTTTATATTTTGCATTATCTTTATTTTTTCACAGTCTTCACAGTCATTACTCCTTCGATGATTACACTATCAGCAATTGGTGACTGTTTTCCGGACAAGATAAGAAATACAGACAGTTTCGGAACATGAAAAATTCCGAATAAATCGAAGGAAACGAGCCTGATTATATGGAGGAGGAAAGACTGATTAAAAGATTGGCGACAATATGGCGCACATGCGCGTCGTGCTCTATACCTCGCGTTAAACAGTTTGCCGACAGCATGACGCGCATGGGCCGCCGCCACAAAATGTATTGCTCGATTCATAGGCTTGTATTTTTCGATTTAATTGGCCAGTGTTCTTGAGTGGCAATCTGTAGTGACGTGATCATCTTGGCCAGAAACTGTGCATCAATTAACCAGTAGTATTAATCATTGAAGAAGTCATGAAGATTGGGAAAAAAATAAACAAAAAGGTGCTGGGGTACACGCAAGAGGAAGGCTGTCGTGAAATGTTAATCTTTCAAAGTATACTTCAGCAAGCATGGATGCTGGATCGAGTGCAATGGATGACATGGCGAGCGCTGAGGAACCTGAGAGCTCAGCGGAAGAAGTCAGCGCCGAGTGTGCGATACAAGAGGCAGTGGGCGGTTCTTCGGATTCGACTTTATTAGAACAAAGTTCATAATCAAATATTGTCAGACACATCCAGCGGAGAATTGAGAGGAAACAATAATCAATGGAGCTACGCTGGCCGAAACAGAGACCTGTCGGTGTTTTATCGATTCTTATTCACTGTAATAAGAGGAACTGTCTTGCAACAACTCCCACCTGTGATTGATTCGGTTTGATGTTGCCTTCTATGCGCTAACTTCTATATTCAAAACTGAGCGCTCATGTCCCTAGGGGTACATACAATCAGGGCTGGTAGTAGGTGACACTAGGAGTAGGAGAAGGGAGAAATGACAGGAAGAAAACGTATCGCTCACATTCTTCTGGCACAAAACCTTCCTACACCTCCCTAAGGCTTACTCTCATACACAGTAAGTGGCATTACCAGTTTGAGAGTGTCAACTTACCCCCCCCGCCCGAACAGCGACATGAGCGCCCAAAATGAGAGTAGTTTTAGATTACGCTATCTACACTCGAAAGTAAAAGTGTTTTGTGAAATTGCTTGATCTTCGATTTTCCTATTGATTCCTCAACCTTAAGTCGCGTACGTGTAGGCGAAAAGCTGATGGTGGAGTTGCCAGCCGTGATCTTACGTTGGGGTGTGGCATGGGTGGGGGGTTCTTGAGAGTGTGATTACGGGTGGTTCTGGGTGGTTCATTAATGTTAACATGTTTTTTAGTTTATCGAATAGCCAGAGCTAATCGAGATGATAGTATCATCTTCGGTCAACGAAATGTGGCATAGATCTAGGTTATTAAGTACAGCGGTTATTGGGTCAGGCATGGGCAATGCGTTGGACTTCAAGTCCGGCATTTCCTCGAGGGATCAGGTATTGTAAGTCAGGAAAGGGGAAAGTTATTGGTTGATTCTGGGAGCGATGCTGAATTCCTGTACATTTTGGATACATTGTTGCATCAAATATTTCATTGCGCAACATTTTTTTCTCTTCAAAAGGGCCAATATCGAAAGATTGAATCAATTAAAGATTACTGCTGCTTTTCATCAGCATCACCTCATGAACACCCTTCACTACCGTGACATGCTTCTATAAGGTATTACGCTATGAGAATCGTGCCATACAGTTCCAAAAAGTGCGAATGGTCCCAAGAACTTCATACTGCATCAATGAGTGAGTATTTTCTGGCTTAGTTTTTACACGTGCACAGGGGTTCTCGTTCCATAGCACAAATTACTTTGTATTATGAAAGAATCCAATCAGATGCTGATTTCTTGAAAATTGGGGCGCTACTGATCGAGAGCCCTTGAGAAGGTATGCGCAAGTAAATTATACTATGACCAGCGCTACCTACTTGTTCATACCATCCTTCCTTGCCGTTTGAAACTTGAGAAACAGGTATTTCAAGATCAGTTTATGCACGGACGTTTTAGTAGTGACATAACTTTACGAGGCATATTTCTGTTATTTGTTAGCCATCATGTACAAAATCTTTTCTTTTTTTTATTTTTTAAAGCTTAGAACAGACGCCCAATTTTTTCCTTCATCACCATTTTTTCTCGCCATTCGTTTCTTTGTATCTTTACTTTGCATGTGCATTTGTAATCGGTGAATAGATTGGTTTTCAATTTGAGAAATGCATTAGATTTGTTTTGTATCGAATTTTCTATGAGCCCTTATTGTGCTTCCAAAGTGTTTACTTTTATTCCGGCATTCTACACAGAGAAGTTATGTGTTTAGTTGTAATTACGTTCAGTTTTATATGTCATTGTCCGTTCTATCTTTGTTAATCCCATGCTCTATCTCATGCTATACATAGAATTGTTAGGCTTTTGCGAAATAAATGGCATATTTCCATGGTGATATTTTACAGTGTACTTATTTGTCGCAGGTTTGAATGACTGCTCGTTATCTCGAGCTAGGATAAAAATGTAGTAATTGTAAGCTGACATCTGATATTTTCACAAAGGCCTGTAACGTACTCCTTAGAAGATTGCCAGTGTAAACATCAATGATAAGGGATGCGTGCTAGGTGAACATCAGCCGATAATTATAGGAAGGACAAATTGAGTCTTTTGTGAGGTAGGAAATACCATATCTCTAAGTACCTGTTTCTATCTCTGGATAATAACTACAGAAGAACTTGATGTGTCATTGATAATTATG